ATCGAATAAAGTTCATCTACGAGATCCGTTGAAAAAGAAAAGGAATAAGCGGAAAGGAGAACATTGGCGTGATCCAGGCCTCGTAAATCGATCATCAGGTTCGGGTTTTCCCCTCGCTATAGAAACGGAAACGAGCTCTACGCCTATTCGTGATAACGGCAACGCCGGTCTATCGCGGCGTAGGATACATTTTTCTTTTTTTTTTTTCCCTTCTCGTGCCTATTGCGTCGAGACTCGAGCCGCGGCGAGAGATCACGCCGATCTCGACCGCCGCTCGCCCGCCGGCCGGCAACAACGTCCGGTCGGTTGTCATCGGCTACTCCGAAACGTAGCAAACGACGCCGCATGCGGCGTCATGTCCAAATTTAAATACGCAATTCAGGGTCCCCGGGATCCCGGCAATAACCGATGATGGACGAACGCGCTCGTCCGCTCGCCCGCCCGCCCGCCGTTCGCGCGCGCGCCACATGCAACATACCTCGGAATGTTCTTCGTCTGGATCGTGTGTCCTCGTGAGAAACACCGGCAGTAACAGGACACCCGAAGCAATAGTGTACCGATGGAAAAACTCGTCGCCAAGCACCGCGATATAAAGCGAAAATTCACCCAAGAGAGCCTTAAAGACGCGCACTCACAACCGTATGAGACTCGAGAGGAACTGCCACGAGCCCCCTTCCACATGACCGGCAACAATTGGCGGCACACTGCCCGATTGGCCGTCCCACGGCGAATCAGCGACGCGTACGCGACACGACGGCCAATCGCGATACCGCGACGCGATCTCGACCGTCGCGCGCTCGATTCGAACATTCGTAACGGTATTTCGTGACATGCCGGAGACACATGATGATACTCGTTAATTATCTGAAATTGTTGGCGATAACGATAATGGCAAATTACTGTATTGCTATCTCTCGTAGTTGTTCAAAATGAATCCTAAATTATCAAATTGTTTTTGTCGCGTGAAAGCATTATTTCTGAAGAATTTCTTCATATTTCAATGATAGAATAGAGTAATTTTTCGTATAAAAATAGATCTTTAAAGAAAATCCATTTTTGCACATGAAACTGATACGAATGTAATAGAAAAGATAAACACAAGAAAAAAGATTAAGATATTAAAAACAGGCGTCATAAAAATATTTTCACTTTGATAAATATAAACATTTTTGAAAAATGATGCTTCAAAAATGTTTATTTTAACAAAGATAATAATATACAAAACAGAAATTAATAATCATATCACATGTCACATGATATTGTAATATTACAATGGATTCACATGATTGTCAAATAAAAATATTTTTTCATATAATAATAATTTTTCTGTTTCTTGTGATACTATTATATTAATTCCTCCTAAGAAATTTATGGCAAAAAATATCATCTTAGTCAAGATTCAAATCTGAACTAACATCTTTACCAATTTGATTTTTTTCAATTTTATAAAATTTGGAACAGTATAATTTTCTGATATATTACAATCATTATATCACAATCATTTGGCTACTTTTTATTAATTAAAATGTAAAAATTCTATATTTATTTTTTAATAATTTGTATTATAGATTATTAATTACTGCTCTGAAACAGTATTGTCTATCCATTTTTTCACAATGTAATATACTTGTAATGTACTTAATGTAACTTGTAATATAACTTTTGTTATATCTGAACATAATGAACTTTTACAAATTTACATATCTAATAATATGAAAATTTACGACATCCAGCTAACGAGACTCATTTACTTGACATCCGATATTTCCGCTTATCGAGAAAGTGCATGATAAATTTACGTCGCAAATGTTGCTTTACCCTTATTGAGCTTCAATTTCCGTTTTTGCGATACTACTGATGCGGGTCAAATAGAATCAATTTCAAAGTCAATTAGAGAAACAGGTTTTCTCGTACGGTATCTTCGCTAACACATTTGCTATTACCATCAAGTTGCAATCTTTCGAATTTCATTACCCATTAGATTGCACATGAGTCACACCAATCAAATACTTCCCACATTTAGCAAGGCTGAAGTGACGTCAACAAAATTTTTTTAAGAAAAATGATGATTCTGCTGGTGCCATTAACATTCTCAAAGCTGTAATCGATTATACGTTTGACACGGCGACTTATAGGCCATTAATATTGATAACGTGTCTGTGTAAGGCGAAAAAAAAGAAAACGCGATAACCTTTTAATATAACGCGGTGATACTCTAATGAGAAAAAACTAATTTTCATCAATCTCAAACTCTGTTTATCTAAATAAATCATGAATATAACGGCTGATCGATGCTATAAGAAAAATCATCGTATTTCCGTTATCAAGAAAAATAATAATGAGTAAGTCCCATTTATGGATCACGAGTACGAAGAACGAGTCATTACTCTATTTTCAGTGATATAAATCACCTAGAATGCATTGTGCATTCGTATGTATGTTAATTTTACTTTTATGCATTAAGATATGTAGGAAATATGACGCGAGATTCAATATATTATAATATGTCACAGCATCATATCCTACAACTCGTTTCGTACTCTTAAAATAAGATATTGTCTCTGTTGCTTGACAGGAAATTTCTAATGCTAGAGACACAACGATCTCAACGTTCAAAACAATTACGCAAAATATTTTGCATCTTTTTCCTCGAGGAATTATAAAATACTTCATACTGCAGTACGCATAGTAATTAGCGCAAGATTTTATCGCAGAGAGGCCGTGTACCGGGGCGACAAAACTCCGTTTTTACGTCGCGATGTGCGCCGGGTAATCTGTTGACATGTCGCTGGCACATACATTTCTCGACTTCGTTCATTTCGGTCCTCCATGGTATATTCGTTCATTTCAGTAAATGAGAAAAAAATCTTCAAATCTTCGAATCGTCTCACGAAAAAAAAAGATCGATCGGCACGAGGAGAGTTTCACTTCTTGCGTAGACCGAAGATGTGAGCGGCGAACGAATTCGAGATGTAGTTAGCCAACGACACGAACAGATTGCTCACCGTGTGATAAGCGTAACCGTATACCAGTGCGGCGCACAATCGGGTCCTTACAACGGACAAGTTACACTTACTAGCAGCTCGCGGCGAGGGTGGCGACTCGTCATCGTCCACGACGGTATGCGTGCCAGCAGTCTCGACACGCGCATCGTCGTTGTCGTCGTCACCGTTATCGCGCGGCGTTTCGTTGTCCGCGTCGCGAACGTCTTTGTCATTCGGTCGGACACGATTGTCTACGTCACCGTCGTCTACTACCGAGTCCACCGGACAGACGTTCGCATTCTCGCGGTTAGAATAATCGTTGTTGTCGTTCCTGTCGTCGTCGTTGTGCTTCTCGGCCTCCACCGGCGACTTCTCGCTCTCGGGGGATGGATCGGGGGATGGATCGGGCGACGACGATGCGGCGAGGGGCTGATAATTGTTGTCATGCACGTCCTCGCCGGCGTCGACGTCGGTCTCCGGACCTACATCCGTATAATCATATTCGTCGTCGTCGTCATCCTGATGTTTGCCATTTCTGGCCATTCCGCAGACAGAATTTTCAAAAAGCAAATCCATATCATAATCACGTTCATCCGCATTGTTGTCGATCAGTTGCTTGATATAGCTCGGTTTTACATCGAAGTGATTCAACGGGAGCGGATTATTCGGATCCATGTTGTTCAGTAATAGACCATTCGATGCTTGATGCGTTAGGAGCTGATTCCGCGAAGCGATCTCGGACGGTGACCTCAGGAACACTACAATTATGGTGATATTGTCCAAAGATCCTGCGCGTTTAGCACTTTGTAGCAGAGCTTGATGCACGTGTTTGAGATCGTCTGTAAAAATAAAATAACATTTGTTAAAATTCTCTAACGATATTTTGTCAATTGTAATTAGTAGATGTCTCTCGCTACAATATTAATTTTGAAATTGTTACATATGGACTCGTTCAGTTTTTCATTATCAAAATTTCGCGAAAAACACTCTGGAAAGACTTAATATAGAAGGGGATAAAAATACAAAAGTATTTTTTAATGCGTTGTCAATTAACTTATCGGCATGAGTCATCGCAATAAAAGTGCGGCTATACGGTTTATAGTCGGCGGAGTCAATGGCTCGTGAATAAATCACGCTCGAAGATCATCACGCGATCACGCTCAAGACCTCCGTAGCGTCGCGTAACTATCATGAGTATTTTCCTACAAAATGCAATTACGAATAGCCGTATGATTCACCAGGATTGCCACGAAGACGGCTGTAAAGAGTCATTAATGTCGTAATTTTCATTTTCGATATAAGTCGATGTGAAAATTAAATGCTTTTGCAGCATTAATGCTTTTGCAGCATAATATGTGTTTGGATATCTCTAGGGATATTTAAATGTCTGGCGATATTCATTTTACGGTACTCTTGCCGAGTACTGCATTTACCCTCCAAGTGAGAATAACCACTTCCTGTTTCTATAAGCGAGTGTTCACAGGTACATTTGAATGTACCGTAATATCCGGATTTTGCTGTACATTGTTATTGTTGTTAGAAAACAGATGTGTTTTATACAGTACCGTCACGAATAAATTATATATCTTTTATTGTTTTTATTTTCCCTTATTTTTATTATCATTAAGGAGGAAGTCTAGGAAGAGTAGTAGAATGCCGTAGATCGGAATTCCAGGCAAGCGAACACGAACAAACTTAAATGAACAAGTTGCATCAATGACTGCGAACGACGCCATGACTACATGATAAAAAAAATGTGTTAAATTTAATATTCTTAAACGGTTCAAATTTCTGGGTTAATACGTTAAATTAACATAATTATGCCATATTAATATTTCAACACAAAATAAATGCAATTTTCATCATAAAATTAAGTTCTTGTGTAAAATTAAAATATTAATGTAATTTAAATTAATCAATTATTAATTTAAAATTTTGTTAGAATTGTTTTAATGACTTTACATTTTAAATTAGTTAAACGTTGAAATCACAAAAAAAAACAATTCAGTTTACAACAAAAATTTTAATGGCCACATATTAACTATCCATTTATTTATTCGTGCTCGTTTGCTTGGTCTATATTTGATTCAATTTCCATATTCGATTTCCATATTTATTTTTCATCTCTCAAACATTTTCGTTCCGGATGAGAAGCGGTCCAAATTTTTGTTTAAAAACAAAAAATGCATTCCTGCAATCTATCAATCACGACAACCAAATCTATTTTTTTTCCATTTTAGAGCAGAGATTAAATCATTTTTCTTCTTATGAATTATTGTCGATTGTACGCTCGAGACTTTTTGTCTCGAATACCAGAAAATATTCAAAATTCCGCGTATGTTCAAACATCAATAGAGAGCATTGTATATCGAGTCTCACACGCGACAGCGATTTGCAGAGTGAAGGAAATATCGCGCGATATTGCATGCAACGTATATTGGAAATTTCGCGACAGATTTGCCGAATCAGGGAAGGTACCATTGCGGTAATATATCGTGCGGCCCTGGTGGAAAGTACGTTGACCTACGCGCTACGCCGCCTATCGACGCCTGCGTAGTCCTCCCTCTCATCCATCCCTCCCTCGTCCTCCGCCCTCCCCTCTCTCTCTCTCTCACTCATTTTGTTTCTCCCCTTGTCTCGTTTACCGCTCACCGCGCGCGCTCACCTCTCGTCTTCTCTTTCATTCTCTTGGATTCGCGCTCTAGTGACTTTATTACGTCCCAGGAGCATTTGCTCCCCATCTGGGCGGGAGAGAGAAATATTAATTTTCCATTTTCGTTTTTCCACGTACTCGCTGTTATCCTTTCTTCATGGATGATATATCCTTCAAATGTAATATTCCATCGCGAGCAAAATCCCTTATCCGAAAAGGTGAGATTTTTTCGAGCGACGAGAAACAAGGGGCGAAAAACAGATACAAGTTGAGGGAGGGGTCCCATGAGAATCCCATGAGACTCGACTGGAAAATTCACGAACGTTAGCAACCAATGGGGCGAACATTGGGGCCAGAGGTCATCGGAGACATCCGGATATGGGATACGCTGGGTGACGCATTCGTCGACCATGGAGGCCGACGTCGCATCGATCGATAATCGGATGTATCCACAATGAATATATACGAGCCGATAATGGCAGGTGCGATAATTGGCAGGTATCTACTCTCAACGAGCCCACGTGTTCATCATCAAATCATTGCGGCCCGCGATATTTCCACGAGAGTTGCGATTTTCGGGCAAGAGGGTATCATTGGGAAAAGGAGCGAGGGGAGGGGGGGGGACTCAATTACGCGCCGATCGATTGTTCGTACTCGAGGATTCAACGAGCGCGTGTCACATCATTAACGCGAAAAAGGAGGGAGGGTAAGCGAGAGAGAAAAACGTAGGCGGGAACGCGCGCAAATAATGTCTGTTATCGCCGCGGGATAATGATTATCCTGTTTAACCCTCGCCTTGGCGAAGAGCGACCGAGTCCTTATGAACACAGGTTTTCAATGTTCCTACATAAATCGCAAAGAAACAAGATAAATACTGCTCGTTTGCATGTTAAAATACATCTTTATCCCCTTCTTTACCCTTGCCATTCGGTAGGTTCTATGTATTCATTTTTATTTTTTCACTTTTATCATTTTTTTATGTAAATGTTTCGAGAAAAGAAAAAAAAACAGTTCACGTGACTACGATAAAATCAAAGTTTAATAAAGACAGCTTATTCTGACAGAGGAAGAAAGGAATTACTATGAACGAGCCTGAATATCCTTTGAACGTCAAATAATCTCGCTGTTAGAGAGTTAATGAAGTCTAATCGTGTCTTTTTTCCCGTGCATTCAACGCAGTGACGACGTGACGACAGTTGTGGCTATCCAAGGTTACTTATAGCAATCCACCACATTGATAGTGAAGCTACGATAACACCATGAATGAAAGTCTCGTGCGGAGATAGCGGCACGCCACTTCGTGCCCCCAGCTCGATGGGCTGTGCTCGAACACGTAACATATCGCAGAGATCCCACATGGTGAATTGAAGAATAGTCCTCATAGCCCTAAGCAACTTGTACGGATATCATTAACACGCAATGCGATAATTAAATCGCGGATGTTTATATTTTATATCACGTTAACAGTGACAACATTTTTTTTATTAATTGTCTACGACTCACTTTTTTCGTGATTGAAAAAAATTTACATAACGTGCAAACATAATCTTGGAATATAAACATTTCAATTTTTATATAATATATATAATAATTTTTTATATGAAATATTTTATTATAAAAATCAAACTTCTGATTTCTTTTGTTATAAAATTGGATTGCTCACTAAAAAACGAAATAGTAAAATATTACTAAATTATGAATGATGAAGATGAAATTTAGATTTGGAAATGTAGATACACGTATGTAACTTTTCAAAATTACATGGCGTAGTTATAGAGGGATACATGCTGATAATGGAACAGAGTTTTAGTGTAAGAGAGTTGAAAACATAATTATGTAAGTTATATTAGATTAATTGTATTATTTAAAAATACAGAGACAAGTAACAATTAATGTTAACGATTCTTGGAAGAAAATAAAGCCTTCGCACAATTTTCTGCTGAAGCAAAGTCGATTTCACAGATTAAAAAATCCATGAATAAAAGAAAGTGTGACGAATCTGTAATACTCCGTGTCAAGTATGTAGCGACATAAAACAGCGACGATAATGTAGAACTGAAAAGTCGAACGTCGAGCAAATCCTAAAATAATTTCTAAAATCATAACGTCACTCGTCGATTCGACGTCTCTCTCCGCGATTATAATTCAGCCGTACGAACCCACGACCATAACGGTCCGAAGGCGCAATTGGCTTCAATGCTAAGTGTTATACGCCGTTTGAATCTTGAATTAATAGCCTACCAATACCGCAGGTCTCAAGTTCGAGGATCGAAATGGCCGCGGGGGAATCGCACGACGTCGACGATTTGAGACGAGTGATTTCAAGACATCATGGTGGCATCCACGTTACGTTTCACGTTACCGGAGGCACAAAGTGCCTTTCATATGATCGGTCACGAAGCCTGCGAAGCCGGGATCCGACGCGTGCGGACTCTTTGCAGCCGACGGCGATATGAATTACACGGAAATATTGAATTACGCGTGTCTGTAATTCATGCGACCGCGAGGAGGGAAGAAGGGAGACTCGCGGCTATTTCCCTTACATCGTCGGGCCTGTCTCGTTCGGCCGACCGATAGGAATTCGCACGACGATTCCCTCGTCTCGGTCACGAATTCTCCGCAAAACACCGTCCGCAGTTTCCTTTTTTTTCCCCTCTCTTTCTCTCTCTCCCCCGCTCTTCTCTTCTCTCCTCCGTCAAAACGGTTGCTCCACACCGATATGAATTATGTAGGTGGCACACACATAGGTATCCAGGTTCGCTCGCGGAACGATCGTTGAACCAATGTTCATCGGAGCCGACTGCCTGCCTGCCTGCCTGCCTGCCTGCGCCTGTCTAAGATCTGCCTCGCGCAAGTACGGAGTAAATCAACATTTTGCCCCGTTATCACGTATCCGGTGATTTAAAAACGATCGCGGGGAATCTCGGCATGCGGCGAGGCGCGACTGCGACTCCGACGACTCGCATATTTCTAACTCTCGTCGGCCTCGCGGCGCCCGTCCGCCCGCTCGCCCGCGCGCGCGTTTCGAGCCTCCCGTGTCGATCTAATGCTTCGATTCACCAACACTCGAAGCCGGATGCTCGCGGCGAATGTGAATAAATCTCTGCGAATTATTTTCGTAACGGCGCCACATCCAGGAGAGAAGAGAGTCTTAAGAATGTACGCCGCGACGCGAGATCGGAGAAT